TTGGTCTTACAATTGTAGTTTTTAAAATTTTAGGAAAAGTACCTGAACTTATACTGAGATTGATAATATAGCTAAGATGTGAGGCTATGTATGTTGAAGCAGCTTTTACAACTTTTGTAGATATTTCGTCAATGCCAACACTGCTAGTGTTTTTTAAGTGTGTTATAATTTTTAATATATCATGGGGTAAACTAGGCGCCATAAATATTGAATTTTTACTTGTTTTTATAGTACTCGTAACCTTATTTCCTGAGTTCAGTATAGGTGTAACTTTGTCGATAATAAAGTTATTAAAAGCATTACATATGGCCTGTAGGTCACAGATAATTTTGCCTTCTTTTTTTACTAAATGCATGGAACTCCTAGCTATACTTTGTTTGTTTTTATTTATTATTTGCCAAGTCGCTTTAGTTTTATTCGATGACATATTTATCTTATGACTATTTTGTGAACGTTGAGTTAGTCACACGAATATATTTTCTTCACATTTCATTCGTTGTAGTTATAATGTAGGTTTATATTATTACACGTAATTATTCGTGAGAGAATAAACTATTATATTAACTATTACCAAATATGCAATTTTCTTATAAAACTACAAAATATTAAAAATTATCTTGACGCGTGCTACTATTCCGGAAACTGAAAAATAATTCTGAGAAGCAACCCTGGATATCTGTTGTTAACCCTGTAATTTACACTCACTATTCTCCAAAATAACGTCAATAACTTTGTATACTCTTGTCTATATCTCTTGGTGACATACTTTTTTGCCATTAAATAAAATACGTGTGGACTTTGTTTTTGTTTGCACAGTCACGTGACCTACTTCACGTATGTTTTGTGGAAAAAATCTCATTAGAGTCGTTACGTTCGATATCTAACAGCAAAATCTTAATATTGTGGTCGAGAAGAGTATAATGTATATATAGGAAAAAAATCGTTATGTTTAAATAATGGCAATTGTATATATAAAAATATAACGCAAAGGAATTGTATATAAGTTCTGAAATTATCTCAAACGTCTAATGATTATTTTAAAATAAATAAATCATAATAAATTTATTGCCATTCTTTACAAACATACAGAAATTACAATATATGTAATATTAATTAATAAATACGTTGTGCAGTATCCGTATGCTGGCAATAGGTACAAACTCAGCTTTTGCTGGACTGATGTTCGTTCAGCGCTGATTTTCAGTTTGCACCAACACGGGGCACCGTTTACTTATCAAATATTTACATATAGTGATGTAGATGTTACACAAAAAATATTAAGAGTTTAATTTAATTTAAAACGTTACTTTATTATTTTTTATGTTAAAATACATTATTTTGGCTTAAACCAAATATTCTTTGATATCTCTGTTATTTCTATTTATTCAAATATGTATTTTAAACTGTGGCAACACTTTCTAACTCAAACACACACAAATAGAATATTATAAAAATGTCACTTCAGTTTTGTATTAGAAAGAAAATAGATATCTAACATTTTATTTTTTTATTTAATTTCGTTTACGATTTTCCCTGTTCATCATAATCACAAGATATAGTTATTATGTTCTTCAAATACATTAATATGTAAAGTAAATTTTTCTATGAGCTGTGAAATAACGTGATTTTTATACTTAAGCTTAACTTAGATGTATAACTTTACATCAAGTAATATTTCTAAGTTTACAAGCTCATTCAACCTGCCTGTTATTTTTTATGTAAATTAGACTTGAAAATAAACATACTTGTAAATAATACACAATAATACTTGTAAATAAACAGACTCCTCACCTGATGGACAGTAGTGACCTTTGGTTATTAACACTTTTTTTAATGAATGATAATGGTATGGTAACCCCGCCTGCGCTAACGTTGGTACGCGAGGTACCAGTGAGGGACCAGTAAGGCCCACCTGATGGTAAGCGGTTACCGTAGCCTATGAACGCCTGCAATACCAGAGGTATTACGCGCGCGTTGCCGACCCTGAAGAAACCTCTTTACCCCCCTTTTGAAGAACCCCATGCTGTAGTCTCTTGGGAAAACCTCGACAGGGAGCTCCTGAGGACCTACCATTCCTGAGGACTCAACTGTTATAACCTAATAACAATCATCCAAGCATTTTTCCTTTTTTTTTTTAATAATAAGTACACTAGAGACTACAGTATGGGGTTCTTCATAAAGGATATATAAAAGTTTGTTCAGAGTTGACAACGAGCACGTGCCACTCCTAGTGTTACAGGCGTTTATAGGCTACAGTAACCGTTTACCATCAGACGGGCTTTATGCTTATTTGCCACCTTTTTGATGTAAAAAAAGACTGGCCTTTAAACTAGGATACCCTATATTTTTGGCAACAATCTAGAAATATCTATGGGTAACCAGATCATCAATCAATTCAAAAAAATTCGTTTCCTAATTCCAACCAAAAATTAAACCTGGGATCTCATTTATGCAAAGTAACATGCCCACTCGGCACCACGGAGGTCATTTATATATAATTTAAACGCACCACTATCATTATTATAGTTTACATTCCAAGTCTGTATTAGTTCTCAGACGGTGAAAGCCATGTAAGGCACGTTCTGACCCCACTTGCACTCTCATTACCCCGCTGACGTTGCCTGCAGTGAACTCGCTCGACTTAATACTTGTAAAACAATAGTCAAAAAGTGCTTTATTTAAAATAATTTAAAATCAGTTTTTACACGCGTCTTACCAGGATAAATAGATTGCCTCGCACAGATAGTAGCCTATGTCCTTCTCCATCCCAAATAGTACTAATACATATAAAATTTCATCACGATCGGTTCAACCGTTAGGATGGCGAAATGTAGGTAACTAACATTTATAATATCTATTATTGGTGTTTTAGTAGTAATTATAAATTGCTAGTGTTTCACGTTTATCTTTACATTTGAATTATGAAACTAACTGGTTTATTTATGGTAAACGACACGACAACATAACCTTCAAGAAAAGAGTATATTCCTTTTTAAAAGGCCGGCAGCACACCTGCAATGCCGCTGGTGTTGTGGGTGCTCATGGGCGGCGGTAGTCACTTACCATCAGGTGAGCCGCATGCTCGTTTGCCCCCTGTGTTGTAAAAAAAAAACAAAAATATTAATGGGGCATCTTAGTCCTCAGAAGTAACAATCCATTACTTATGACTATTGAAAACGATTACCACATTACGCCACGTGGGCTGTCAAATTATTCGCCATTCCGAAATGCACTACATAATACTTTCAAAATACAAAAAACCAAGAAAATAATATAAATATATTCTTCCAACAGAGTCGAAGACTGACTATTAACCAAAACATAGTAGTAAGTGCAAACCATTTTCGTATAACAAAATACATTTTCATGACCACCTTTGTATTTTGCAAATACTATTGGCACCATTCCGTCTATTGTCTCTGCGTCCGCCATTGTTGTACAAATATGCCGCGAAATTGCTATGTAATAAAATAGTCTTTGAAAGATACGTTTATGTTATACTAGCTATTCCCGCGAATTTGTCCACGTGTTTAAACATATTTAAATTCATAATCGACACTTAATTACTAAAATTAACTATTTATTCACATGGTAAACGAATTGAAGTAAATTGGTAAAAATGTATTGTTTATTATTTTAAACTAACACCATATGGTGGGTTTTATTGTAAACACATAAGTGAAATAACTAAGACTTGTACGCTTTACGCGTCTTCTTTCAATGTAAGGATCAAGTTGTATTTGTTACTTCTATCTCAAAATCCACTCGACCGAATTTTCCTAAAATAATCATTATCGTTATCAACCGTTCTTTATCCACTACTGAACAAATACGTGCCTCATAAACTGTCATAAGGAACAGTCTGGAGCCACCTGTATCCAGTGACTCCCTGCAATGCATTTAAGGTCGTCACTCAATCTAGTGGGGTGTCGTCTTACACTGCGTTTGCCTAAAATATTCAATTACTATAATCGATTTTTTTTTAAGATTTACAAAGTAAGATAATATATAATATTTTTTTATGCTGAAGTATTTAGTTATACACACATTAGCAAATAAAACGTTCACAACTCTTAGTTATGAATTTCTAAATAGTACGAATATAACTGAAAATCAACATTTCATTTTAACTCGCGTGATGTTCTTGTAAAGCAAAAAATCCCAGATAATGCTTGGTGCGCGAGATAATAACATACTGTATAGTCGATGTTTTTCTGACTACTAACACTTGTAAGGAAATTTACTTAACGAATGAGGGATTAGAGAAGCAAATAATCATTAGTCGACGAGATTTAATAATACGTAGGTCGCTGCACAATACTGTAATCGTGTATAAAACTCACTTGTATTAGTCTCGCCATCGTCGACGTGACTTAGATAAAAAGTAGTATGTCTTTATCTATACAAAATACTACGTCTATACCAAATTTCATGAAGATTTATTGAGCCATTAAAGCGGCCGACATTTCAGAGGTATTACTGTGAATGTAAGTGAGTTTGTTTGTTATCTTTTGAGAACAATAAAACTATATAGACTCCGCCGTATTCATATAAAAAATTCACTTGTAAGTTATTGCTATAATGGACCGATCAACACAAGCATAAAAAGTAGTGTCAATTTGCTAATTAAGTTTTAATGCTTATTATCCATTATCTACTATTTATGTAAATTGCCGTACATCTGTGCCCATGAGATACGAGCCAAACTGTAGACTCAATTATGTGGGAACCATTACAGACAATGGTATGTTATTAAAACTAACAATTTGAAATGTGGAAACGTCTCGACAAAGAAATAAACACTTTCGCATTACAAGTGACTTTGTTACAGTACATTCCACTCAATAAAACCTGCTTATTTTGACTGAAATTTCTAGGTTGCTACTTTACAATATATTCGTCAATTAATAATGTGCGTCAAAACTGTTACGATCAATTTGTTACGGTAGATATGTAATTGCTTCCTACAGTTACTTATATGCTTATAATTTTTGTTTCAGATGGCGTAGAAAAGCTGTCAGAAACATCCATCACTAATGCTGTTTAATAATCTAATGGAAGGAGAAGCTATCACTACAAATAACATTATTTCATCTATAAAAAAATTCAATACCGACGGAAAGATAGAACACGGAAGTATTAAAGCAATATTTAAAACGTTTGTATCACCAGAAAACGACAGAATGGCTATAAAAGAAAACCAAAGCAACAGTGACAAATATGTATATACAGTACCTGTCACATCTCCTATATCACCGGTAAATGAAAGAGCTAAAATGATAAATGAGGCGAAACTGGCATTCTTAAACTCTACAGTAAATTCTTCACCATTACCTAAAATTGTTACAAAGAAAGTGGAACCTACTATTCACTACGCTCAGTTAGCTATAGCCAAAGGAAGCGAAGACACTAGAAGTACAGGTGGAGGGAGAAAGATACAACAAATGGCTGACATGAAAGACAAAGACGTAACGACTGTTCCATTAGGCATATCATATAATACAAAGAAAAAAATGGAACAACAACAACAAAGAAAAGTGAGTTTCAAAATAAAAACAGCGTCGAATTCATATCGACGACCACCGTTAGCTACAAAAACTATGACAATAACAAGTAGTAATGTGTCTGAATTGACGAAAAAATTCAACAGTTTAGTGACAGATGAGAATAGTGGGCCAATAAAACAATCTAAACTTGCTAAAACTATAGAAGATTTACAAATGGTATCACGGTGTCCAGCTAGTAATAGTTCGACGCCTTCATCAACTCTTAGTTCTAGCCCAAATATAAAAATAGTTGTGCGACAACGACGAGGTTCTAAAAAACGCAACAATAAAAAAAGGTGTTCTAGCGTAGATTCTATAGACAAGTTATTGTTATCCGACAATTCATCCACCAAAATTCGTGTTATACGGTCAAAGTCTGATGGTACGAAAATTCCCAAATCGCCTAAGAAACGATCAAAGTTTCAGGATTCAAATAAGGAAAATAGTGGTTCTGACTCTGTCGATGGTAGTCCTAGTAAAATAAATGTCAGTGAACCAAAGAAACATATCGAGATACCACAAAATAGTGGGGTAAAAAGTGTAATAAAAAAATTCGAATGTGAAATTACAGCTCAACTTATTTCTAATGCCTCAACACGACTAAAAGACCAGACCAAAAGTACAATACCTACAAAAGAAAAACCTAAAGTACCTGAAAAAAAATCTTCACTAGTGTTAACCAAAAATATTGTTGTCAAAGATGGAATTCCAAAAATTAAAACAATCAAAACAATACAACAAGCGCCCGATAATAATTTGTCAATTTCAATACAAGATAATAATAAAAACCATTCCACAGACTTGACAAAAAAGAAAGAACCTTTATATGATAAGAAAAAGTTCAAAACTAATTACATACATTCAGAAAAATTACCGTTAAAAGTAGTGGAAATAATTCAGGAAGATATCAATGAAAATAATATTTCAAATTCTGAAGATCAACAAAAAACATCTATAACTAAATGTAAAGAAAAAATATATGAAGAGGTTAATTCAAATATAACACCGAATCAGTCTTTTTTGTGGAGAAGAAAAAGCAGTACTTTTTCCGAAAGTGATAAATCTATCTCTGATGGCTCTTATATATATGGGTTTGCAAATATAACAAAAAGTGATGTAACAGTTGATAGTATAGATGATACACAGGAAATATCAACAAATAAAGACGAATCTCAAAAATCTGAAAATGTAGAATCCCAAAAAACTGATGAAGAAAAAGTGGAAACGAATTCGAATTGGAATTCAGATTTCGAATCAAATCTAGTCGAAGCTTATAATAAAGAAGTTCTTGTGGGTTATACAACAGCAAAGCCGAAAAAAGATTTAGTCCCTGAAAATGATTATGAACTACTAGAACCCAAGGATGCCACTAATGTCGTTGTAATTCCCATTAAGAACGTTGACAAACCATCAAAAATTAATTGTCCTTTACCAGAAATTCCTAAAATAAATCCCGAATCTCCTGTAGAATCTGAAAAAAACGTTTTAGAACAAGCTAAAGAAAATATTTATCAGTGTTTATTAGAGCTAAGATCACACCCTGAAGGCGATGAATGCAGCCTCCATAATTATGAACTTTGTGATAGTAAAATGGAAGAGAGAACACGAGGAGATGGGGACAGTGACGACGGTTATGAATACTGTAAATCTCCTATAAAACCATATTGTGTAACTTCGAGTTCAGGTATCCAAATAGCTGAAAACTATCAGCCCTCCGAAGATAATAGTAAAAACTACGCAATCTCTAAATCTGTCAGTGGAACATCTACAGTAAGCTACGAAAGAATTGGCCCCGAAAGAATATACGAAAAGATTCCAGTACAAATGCCAAAATCCAAAGACAGTAGCCCTACGTATAGCAGTCGGCATTCTTTTGTTTCGTCCGATTATACTGGTTACAATGAATCAGAAAATATATACGATACTATTAAACATAGTGACGCGACTTCTCTGTCCCATTGTTATGAAAGTATACCAAACAGTCCGAGTATGGTTAAACTCAGGAATAACATAAAGAAGCAACTGTCGTCTGGTATACAAAAACGTCTCTCCTTCGATACTGTCTCGACCAACAGTCATTGTACAATATCAAGCGAACAAAGAACCAACAGTATATATGGACAAAGATCAGTGTTAAGCTACAATGGTCAAGAGATAGCATTCCAAGTGCCGAGCAGTGAAACGAGCGTCAGTGACAGGAGTGATGATTGGGTCGATATTTCTGATGAAGAAAAAACTGATGAACAGAAGATCATAATGTAGGTATTACATGTACTTTACATCTAAGCATATACATATATGAGTCGTTTGCTTGGGTACTTCTGTCACATTCATGTTTCTGCCGTGAAATGTTTATTTAGCTATGTTTCGGTTTGAAAAGTGAGATATGGCAATAAAATCACAGAGGGTACAGAGGCATTGCACATTATCCTCAGGTATGGCAATACTTTGTTATGACCACAATACTTATTGTTCATGTCTATAGAACCGTGTGCTTTTTTGCCACTCTAAGTTGCAAAAAAGAATCTTTAAATATTTATTTATCTGAAAGGTTCCTTACGGAATAAGCACAAATAAAATAGGCATATACATTTAAAACTGAAATTTAAAAAGTAAGGTTCGTTATACATAATATATAATATATAGAAAAAAAATTTCATTGTCCCATATTTAGACGCGTTATTCAAGTAAAAGTTTCCCCTTGAATATAGTAACTAATCAATACATTATCATAGATAACCTAATAAACTCGGAAATCAATAACATCTGCTGAAGAGAAAAATAATACATTATCTACTAAGGGGAGATAAGGACTAATTGCCTAGATATAGGCCCACAGGTGATGGCTTTAAACCTCAAACGAGTATATTGATCTATACTTTCTCTTATATAATATGTATATTTAATACTTTTTTACTACATCTGTAAAGAAAATAAAGGATACAGTCATTATATTTACATTAGTACAGTTTTTAAATTATACTTTTCCTTTCCATATAATGAAATGGGTATAACGATCTAAACTATATTTATATAGTTATGAAAACCATATCAGCCGTTAATTATCACAGCTATTTTGCCAGTATTTGCCACGCTTGGCAGGCGGGTTGACAACCGCAATAAGGCTTTGGTGATATTTTAAAAGGGACGCTACTCATTCTTCGGCTGGTTTCCTTAGTCGTCTCTTACGACCTCCACGGGAAAGGAAAGGGTGGCCCATTCTAAACAAGGACCACACAGTATTTACATAAATATTATATAATAAAACTTAGTATTTTTATAGACGTGGGTCGGTAATAGGTAATAGGTATAAATTTTTAAATCTTTCAATTTAAATCGTTCAGTATACCGGGGGTTTTGTATCAAAAATAATTTTTTTCATTCGGCTAATATCGTATTCGACACGTCTCTTCTCGTTATTTCGTCATTCTTTTTTCCATTGATATCATAACCCTTAAGGGAATAAGAAAGACAATATCAACATATAAATGCACAGATAAATTTGTGATTGATACGTATATGATATATACGTATTGATATATTTTATTTTCTAATAATAATATTTAGTAAAACAAGTTTGGTATATTTTTAATTTTCAAACAATATTTTCTATAAGTTTTTTCCCCTGTCCCAGTAGGTATCCTATTATTAAATCTATTGAGTTATGTACAAAATTTGAACTAACTGAAAAGGTACATCATACAATTTTTATGCCGTTTTCCTTAAGTAACTATTTATGTTTTACAGTGTCCAGGAAATAAGTCGCGGTAGAAAAAGTCCTGTAAGCTGGTCGCAAAAAGTACGGCACCAGTGGCAAAAATCGCCAATACAAGGAAATGAACAAAAAGGTTAGTGGGCTTATTTTTATTTAACTGAATAAATTTTATCATCCTACAAAGTATTTATTTATGGTCAATCATTATTTGTAATGATTATATAGTATTGTAATAATCATTACTTATACGAAATATGTTTGATATGATTTCGTTTAACGCCATCTATGAATGATTGTCTAAACAATATCTACAAGCTCTATCAAACTGCTATTTCCTATTGATCACTACAGATGGCGTGCAATTGTATCGATTACATTAAATACATTTTTTAATTTAGATTAAGACTAAAATATGCAAGTGTAATTCCTTAGAATAATAACTTGTCATAATGATTTATCAATTTATTTAAGAAAATATTTTCCATATAATTTATTATGGTATATGATATATCATCCTCGACTTCCTTGTTACCACAATGTATTCATGAAACGTCAAGATGTAGAGGTACATGCATTGATGTTATAACTTCGTTAGTTCCTCTGTTCTACAATTTATAATTATAAATGCAATGCTGTGTTGTAAGTTCACGGACGTAGGTGCGCACGCGCGCTCTAGCAGTGGGTTGTGGGCGACTTATAATCGTTACCGGATTCCTGCGTCTGTGAAGGCTTGAGTCCAAATTCCTAAAACGTTTATTGTTGCTAGATATTAACTGTAAACATCTTGTTTTTTACCCTATTTTTGTGACTTATTATTATTATCACTTCCCAACCACAATAAAAGGTATTCTTTCGACGGTGAATGTTACGCAAAACACTTAAAATACTGATAACATTCCTTATTATTCAAATGTAGCTAGAATTTCTTTCTTTGGGGGTAGATACCTTGTTCGCTGATCAACCATAACAAATGTTCCATTTCAATAAAAGTTATGAGTAATCATAAAAATCATTTTAGCTTTTAGGGGCCAATCACTTGATTATTCAATTCATCATCATGTCAGCCATTATTTGCCCATTATATGAGCATAAGCCTCTCCCTATTGGAGGATTTTGCTAATAGTTTGCCAATAGTTGATTATTAAATTGCTTCTATATAATTATCCCAATCTATACATATTACTTGTCTATTTCTATCTTAGATGTTTCCCGCCATCTATCGTCATTTAGGATTGGAAAAATCAGTTTGCAAGAACCACAATACGATTTATTTTAAATGTTTATTTAAAAAAGTTAAACTTTTTATTGCACCAGAAATATAAAAATATTTATTCTATTTTATTACTTTAATTATTTTGAAGACCAACGGCTTTTAATATACAATGACAATTAGAAAATTCAATTGAAATACGGTAGCATTAACTATATTCCATCTATTACTATGTTTTAATTTTTACACACGTATGAATCGTATAATTGAGTATGCATTTACATTTACACGTAAAGGAGAAGTATAAAACGTGTAAACAGAATTTTTCTCTACACTTTACTGTTACATATAACAAAAAAAAATATGTCACGTTATAAACTGTACCCAATTTAATTGTAAATGTATTATTTTCTTATACATACCAAAACAACTAATGTTAAATCAACTTAGGTATATTTCAATTATGTATAATATTTTTGCTGTGAGACTTCATAGCTGTTAAAATTACAGACTTACGTAATCTCGTGGCAAACCGCATATTTCACAAATGAATCTCCATCTGAGTTTGGAATTAAGAACAAATGACATCAGTTTTTTAAATATAAAAGTGCTTATCATTGTCATCGTTCTATCAGTCTTTAACTGTCCACTGCTGAACATAGGTCTCCCACTTGGTGGAAAGGGAAGGTACTCGTATATTGCTACTAACAGGCTTTGGTGACGTTTTAGGAGGGACGCTGCTCCCTGTCTCTGGACCATTAAAATCTCTTAATCGTTTCTTACGATATCCACAGAAAAAAGTGATGGTCCATTCTACACCGGGACCACACGGCTAATAATATTTAATTAGCCTAGAATAATTAAAAAACTATTTTTAACAATAATACATATTACATACTGGTTTCACGTATTTCTAGATTTGAATGGAACGAAAATTGAGTGTAATTTAAATTAATTTGAACAATAATGCAATTATAATGATTATGAAAGATGCTATAATTAAAGTTATTATGTCGACTGTTGCTTAATCTAATAATAAACTTACTCATATTATGTTGAACTATTGAAGTCAATATGCATGTTAAAGTTTAGTACACTTGTAGTCGAATGCTACTATTAGAATTCAGCGCGTCTATGAGGGTTTAGAACATCTAGAGTCTTCTAGAATTCAACGCATCTTTTAGAATTCAATGCGTTTATTTGTGTTATGTTTCCCGTGTAGTCCCGGTATAGAATAGGCCACCCCTTCTTTTCCCGTGGGTGAATTTAGAGGCGACTATAAAAAGGCGAGGGATACTTCTTCGGTTATACTAACTTCGGTTGCCAATCCGCCTGCTAAGCGTGGCAAATATTGGCAAAACCCCCTTAGAGGCTTATGTTCAGCAGTGGACAGTTAAAGGCTGACATGATGACGATGATGATTTGGTTTCTACACATTTATCAGAATTCAAACAGTCGATTAAAATTCAATAAATCTTATAATTTGATTTAATTTGATTGAATGCGTCTGTTAGAATTCAACGCGTCCATTAGAATTCAACGAATGTATTAAAACTCGTCACATCTATTGGAAATCAGCCCATTAATTAGAAATTAACGCGACAGGAGCTAAACTTCTTTTTTGTAACTTCTGTTACAAAAAAGAAGTTTAGCTCCTGTCGCGTTAATTGACGTGATGTATTATATTTTTTGATATTTTCATTTTCCATTTAAAAAAAAAACTATTAATCAAAAACAGTTCATTCTGAACAATTTAATTTGAAATCTATTTAAGACGCAGACGGTAGTTAGTTAGTTAGAAGTGATAAGGGAGATGCTGTGATATAGGATAATGCTACAGTATCGTTACTAAACATAACGTACTCTTAAAAAGAGAAACTGACGGATAGAACAACTTTGAAAATTACAACACAATACACCAAGACCAGTTGATAGTTTAAAAAAAGTATGTAAAATTATTTCACTATGCCAATATATTACTGAATTAAATTAAAATAAAAAAAATAACCAAATTTACACGAATACTATGATTTATTAAACTAGCTTTTACCCGCAACTTTGACCGCGTGACCTGTGTTTACTGACCAGGATAAAAAGTAACCTATATCCTTCTCCATCCCTTATAGTAGGTGTATGCCAAATTTCATAGTGATCAGTTAGTTCGTTGAAGCACTATAAGGTAATAAACAAATAAACTTACCTTCACATTTATAATTTTAGTAAGCTTTTTATTAATGTTAAAAATAATTTAAAAAAAAAAGGTCAGTAAGTCCAGCGTGACGAATCTAACAATAAATCAATCACGGTGGTTTCCAGGGGGAACCACGAGGAGGTCGACCTGATATAGTATATTGCTAGCAATGGGGCTACTTATCCCCATTACTAACAATCCCTTTTCCCCTTTACATTAGTAAGGTTTACCAAGCCGAGTTTAAAAAGCATTTCGCGCTGAGAATGTAATATTAGTGTCGACTATTTATTTCGTCAGATTGGGTTTTACAAAATGATTCATTATGATTCTGATGAATTGACTTTTTAGCCCTAATTTTTAGTCCAGTTTCTAATACATCCTATCAAGATACTCATAGACAATCTCATTGTGTTGAAATGATTTTTTTTCGTAACAATTAATGTGATTCATTGTTTATCCGCGCAGTAAAAGGCGCTTTCGATAGCATTCACATTTCTAATGTCTGTCTGTCAGGTAATCAGACTAGTTTAGTCTTTACGTATTGAATAATGGCCTGCCCATTGACTGTTCATCTAGTTTCCTACACTTGATGTATTTAATAATTACTTTTGCAAAAATAAAAAAATATGAATAAAAAAGTATTTAACTAAATTTAAAATAAAAAAAAATCGGTTCACATCGTCTAACCAGTGACGTGCCTATACGCTTATTAAAATTGAGTCAACCGATCTGTTTAGAGATTCATCCTTAACAGGTGTCAGGCCTTTGCTCAACAGTGGACTGTTGGGGGAAAGGGATTGTTAGTAATGGGGACTAATGGCCCCATTGCTAGCAAACCCTGTCAGGTCGACCTTCACGCGGTTCCCCCTGGATACCATCGTGATTAATAATTGTTGCATTCGTTACAATGGGCTAACTGACCTGATTTCATGCTCGGCTATCATCCGTCACTGGTGCGCCGCCATTGTGTACCATTAGCGTAGGTGGGTGCACCATACCGTATACAAACATCTTTATAGACAGTTATAATTTTAAACTTTCGCATTGTTTACATATATTTTAAATACACAATGGGGATTTAACGCGATGAAAAAACCTTTGCAGGTAAATAGTACGTCGTAAACGTACGACGTAGTAGAAACGTCGGCAATAAAGAAGCAGGTATCTTTACAGATCTTTCATTTCAATTGTATTCATTCGTCATTCATTCATATCAACTGTTAACTGACCAATTTTGAGCATAAGCCTTCCCCTATTGTTGGGTTTAGCCAATAGTTGCCACGCGTGGCAGGCGCGTTGACAACCGTAATTTGGATTTTGGTAATGTTTCAAGAAGGATGCTGCCGCCCATCCTTCGACCATTATGTTTCCTTTGTCACCTCTTACGACGCTCACAGGAAAGGAAGGTGTCTATTTTTTTATGTTCGTTCTCTGCATCCTTTATTTATATACCATAGTGTAAATTAAAACATCGATCGATCGATTACACATCGAATATTTATTCGATATATTTATAGATATATAATAGCGATTGATTTTGTCTCGAACAAAGTTATTTATTAATTAACACCAAATTGCAACTTGATTTCAGTGATAAACCCAACTAACAATGGGATAACTAACCATGTTGTATACTTTATCAAATTATTATGCAATTCACATACCGGTCTCTGAATTGCAATGGTGAACGACAATTTTATAGCGCCGAGCAATGTTGCAGGCGTTTGTTTAG